CAGCATCGTGTTTAGATGAGCTGCTCGGCACCTGGCGACTTGAAGTTCCCCAGTCGGCGCGCGAAAGGGTCCACGCAGGTCTCAGGATTCCGGGCTCACGGAGTTGCTATCTGACATCTCGGCATTGTTTGTCTACCAAGGTTACCGCCGAACGCTTCAGCTAGTGCCTCGTGTGGCAGTTAGCGTGATACACCGCTGAGACACAACGGATGCCCTCTCAGAATTGTGTTGAGGATGTGGAGATTTGTTGGTTCCTTGCGGTCGCAGGCTTCTGAGTTCCACCCCGCCCACTGCCGACTCATGTCCAAACCCAGGCGGGGTGCGCGAGGCGTTGCAGAAGCACGCCATCGCGAGCTTACCAGGCGCTTGGATGTTCTCCACTTGTCTGCTTTTGTCCTTCCGTCTTTTCTTTCCGCCTTCTTTTTGTCCTTCTTTCTTCCCTTCTTTCTCGGTTCCCCTTTCAATCCTTTGCCACTCGGAATTGGCTTGGTGGTTTCAGGTCGTGGGCGAGTGTCGGGAAGATGTGTGTGCGGTCGAGGTCACGGGTTGAATTATTTGGAAAGATGCGGCGGCATGGACAAGCTGCCGGTCTGCGTTGCCGGGGGTGCGGGCGTGGACCTGGATGAGACGGTGAAGAGCTGCAAGCAGCACGGATTGAGGCGACTCGGATGCGATTCGCGGCATGGACAGCTTGCTCCTGGCTTCAGCTGGCTGGGCACACTGGCCGAGAGAACATTCAAGCAAAGTGTGGGATAATTTTGGCTCGCGCCCCGCAGGGCGCCCTTGATTTGTGGGGTCCTGCATGTCTCAACATCGCTGCCCTCGTCCCTCATTTCTTGGGAAAGGGCTTCGCGCCTCAAACAAGTTTTCTTTGTCAGCAGCACTCTTTTGAGGCCTGAGCGGCTATGCTCCGCAGCTGGCTGGAAGTTCTGGGATGCTTCCAATGAGAAGACTCCATTCGTGCCGGCTCAATCCGTGACACTCTCAGCAGCTTGATGGCAATGCACATACCATCACTTTGCCTGGTGGTGCTTCTACAAGTCATGACCTTTTTTAGCGACACAACATGGACACACACACACAATGTATATATATATATATATAGATATATATATATATATTATATGTGTGTGATTTTGACATTGTCAATGTTCCTTCAATGATATTGAGACACATTAATTCATGTGCTGGCAGGGTTTCCACAAAAGTACATGTCAGCGAACTGCGGTCATCCAGCGTCCCGCAGTCGGCTAAGGAACAGGGCAAGACAGTGCCGTACTTGAGACCCAGGAGAGCAACCCGCCATAGCCCGCTCGCTTTTTCTCGGGCGCAGTGTGGCTGACTGAAAAAGAGGGCTCACAAAGGACTGCGTGCGGTACCATCATGGCCTTGCAAAAAAATCGTCCTCCTGCCCCCATTTACGCCCTCAAAGTCTTGGAAGGGTATGTTTGTTTCTTGTGCGCAGGGCTGGGTTTTGCTGGCTGCACGAACATCTTTGATCCAGGAGGTTCCCTCAAAGATCCCCTCCAACTGTGAAAGCATTGTTATTTGGTCTTGTTTGGCTATTTGGCCCTCATCAGGCCGTCTCCAAGCGTTTTGACATTTGTGGTTTGGCGCGCTGTTTGCGCAGGACGTGGCTGTCCGAGGAGGGCCGCACAAAGTTGGGAATCAAGGCAGGCGCCAGGCGCGGGATGGCGAAATCTCGAGATATCTACAAGACGGGTAGACGCGCTTTCAGGGAGGCGCAGCTGAAGGAAGGTGAGGGAAAAACAACACAGTAAAGTAGAGGCGCAGCTGAAGGAAGGAGTGAAATGGAGGGAACTCATGTGTATCAGGATTATCTCAGAAATGTGCTGTAACAAGCATCCTCTCGAGCACAGGGGTTGGACAACTCCTTTATTGAAAGTTTGTTTCGGGAAACGCGAAGCTTCATGGCCCAAAGGGGGGCCTACTTTGCTTGTGGTGCATGGTTCTGCCAAACTTGATTCTTTTTTCAATGTTTTGCTCTCAGGCTGTCCATGCAAACATTTGGGCCCTTCAGGCGAAGCACGGCTGCCTTGGAGGGGCCCCGTCAGGCCGAGAAGGCCCGGCCCATCGCGACAGGCTTGTTTTTTCCCGATGGGCTTGAGGTGGATTTGATCACCGACGCGGCAGCGGCCGAGTCAAAGGCAGAGACGGCAGCTCGGCAGGCAAGTCATTTCAGGCTTTTTCCGACATGATGTCAGGCGGAAATTCTTGCTGTTGCTCGACCGCTCGGTCACATCCTGACAGCCGCGACATGCTGTTATGTGACTTAGGGGTGTTGGGTTCGGTTTTGCTTTTGGGGCTGGGCCGACATCAACATCAAGAGTGCCACGGAGCTGCCCTTCCTTTCGGTGACGTCCTCGGTGTCGCCGATCGAGGCGAAAGCTGGGATCCTGAAGCAGATCGACTTCATCGTCACGGAATCCTTTGGCCCAGTGCCTTGGATGTAACTGTTTGCGTGTCCATGTCTGACACCCATACGTGCGCCAGGTTTTTTTGGATTTCTTGGGCAGAAGTGGTTTCTACCTTTCGTTCGTCAGGGGCAGGTCCGGTGTCGTTGGGGCCCGAGGTGGACCCGCTGGATCTCTCTGCGGCTCTTGCCCCAAACGCATCTCTGCGGTCGTCTTTGCAGGCGCGGTGCGTGGCACACCGTGTTGCGTCATGGTCTTTGACCCTTATCTGGGTGTGTCTTTTTAGGATTCGGACCCCCCAACATGTTTTTTGTTTGGGATGCCCTTTTAAAGCTAACCAAAAGTGGGCTTCCCACAAAAACGCACACACACACACACACACCAGCTTTTTCCTGGGGTTGGGAATTCTAGGTTTCTTCTGAGTGAACCATGGCCATGGTGCGGAGAAAAGGACCACATGTGTCAGAGGCCAGCCCTGTCAGGGCAAAATGGAGCAACCGGAAGATGACAATAAAAGGAGTTGAATGTGTTTGGACAAATGCTCGCCACTGAGGTTCTTTCGCTGCTTCCCGTGTCATTGCCAGCAATTGGTCGGGCAGTGTTCTTGCATTCCTGTCAAAATGTGGCAGGGAGGCGTGAAGGATGGACCGCCCAGGGCAGCAACAGGTCAAACGTCCACGCTGCAGGGCAATCTTGCTTCATTTGCGTTTAATCATCGCCGCCGCTTTGACCAATGGGAAACACATTCGTCGACATCGCGTTTGTTGGGCATGTTGGTTTGGAGTTGCTTCGCTCGCATCTGAGTCGGGAGAGCCCCCGGAGCTGTCCCTGTTGCACGAAGAGCTGGCGTCCAGCATCGCCTGCGTGGTGCAAGAGTTCCCGGGCGGGGTGGTGCCTCCGGACCGCCGCTGGGCAAAGACGGGAGAAAGGAGTGGCTGAAGGGAGGTTTTGTTCCAAGCGGATGCGTTCATGGGCTTCTGAGTGGTTGAAGGATGTGGGGCTTCCAGAGAATGAGTGGGAGGGGTTACCAGCGCTACGGCGTCCGGGGCCAGGTCGCGCCACACCATCGCAGAGCACCGGCACCATCCGGGCGAAGGCCGTGCGGATTCGGGGAGTGCCCGAGTCCGCCTACCCCTTCATCAAAGGCGGAGCAGCTTGGCCATGATGTGCGCGTTACTTGGGAGGGGGGCGGGGAGGTTCTTGCCATGTTGTTTTTGTTGAGAGTCCGAATAGATACATGAACAAATAGACAAACACACAGATATGCAAACACATGCAGAACAGGAATCATGAAGACCACTCGGCCTAAAAATGTTCTGAGGCAACCGCGCTGGCTGATGCAAATCAGGGCAGCCTGCGGAATGATCGGCAGATGGAAGACCTTAGCGGGGTTGAGGAGTGATTCAGAGCAACTTACAGAATGGTTTGCAGCTTCAAGAATGAGGATGCAGACCAAGTCCAAGAGAACACTGTCCGAGTGCTGCGCGAAACAAAAAGGGTCCTCGCTTTTGCTGCTGCTGCTTATGTGTGCGCAGCGGGTGGCCGCTGCGGGCGGCAACTGGAAGATTCAGCGCTTGTTGGTAGCAGCGGCGGGCACAGAGAAGCAGGATTGCCATGCGATGCAGTGGTTTGTTCCAGGAGTCAGCGGACAAAGACGGCTTGGACAACATCTCCATCAAGGTCTTGCGAGGTGCTGCATAGATCTCTCATTCTTCTTCCTTCGGCGTGAGCTCTGTCCCGCATTTGGCCACTGAGCTATTCAACACGATTGTGCTTTTGCATGTGCAGGCCGGGGAGCTAGTTTGCCACCAGCGCTTTGGAATGCCTCGGCCCAAGCGTTCGCTTGCTTTTGGGCCCAGCATGTGCATCGGTGCACGGGTTTCACGTGCAGGAACTCTTGGCATCGGATGATTCTCCTTTCCTGGAGCATCACTTCCTGTCCGGCCTAACGCTCAGCCAAAGAAGTTCCCGTTTTAAATGGTATTAGGGCATCTCACTAAACGCCATCAACAGCTCGGGGCCGAAGTCACGAAACGCTCAACTTTCCATAGACTTGGTGTGCGGCTGTGGGCTCCATGCGTGCTTTGGGAGGCTGTTAGCCAAGGGGGTGACTGCGAGTTGCTCTGAATCGCATCCAGGTTTGGAGGAGACGGGCTGCCGGGCGCCTGTGGTGTAAAGATGCAAAGGTCCATGGGACTGGGTTGTAAAATCAAGCTTAAATCCGAGTAAATCCCCCCTTTCTGATCCATTTTGCACAACCCAGTTGGAAGGCCCTGCAACTTTTATGTTGGCCATGGCCTTGTTTGAGGTGTCAACCTGGCCAAGGGTTGGCAGCCACGATTCCTCTTGGCCGGGGCCGTAAGGCAGAGAGACGTAGCGCGCATGTGCCAACGGCATTCGCAGCCCATGATGTTTCAAGACACCGTGATCGCACGGCAAGAATGCAACTGCCGTCTGCAAATGATGGTTTGTATGCGACACCGTTCAGTTGATATTCTAAGAAGCACTGTGGGCTGGCCTTGAGCAAGTTTCCTGGACAACTGCGTTGGATCAGAGCTGCCTGCCATGCTGGCCCTTGCCTGCTTGATGCAGCTGGCTTGCGCCGTGGCCAGTGACCTGCCGTCACTCCTTGTTGCTTGCCTGAACCTTGCTGCTCGCTTTCTCCTAATAGCAGGGAGAACTGTAAGGAGGAAGTCGCGGTGGGTCTTTTGTTTGGTTGAAGCATGTGCTGTCAAAGCGGAGATTTGCAGCGGATGGAATGCCAGTCGGCAGAACTCCAGGCGGATGGAATGCCGGATGGTTTGCAGCGGATTTCCAGCCTCTACAGGTTTTGCTGAACATGCAGGTTTGGCCAATCATTGCTGCCAAGGAACGTTCTCTCTTCTTCTTCTTTTTCTTTTCTCACAGTTGCCTTTGAAATTTACTCGTGAGCATCAATCCCATGGTAAATGAACGGGCCCAGTTAAAGTCCACCCTCAAGTCACGGCAGTTTCGCCTTCGCCATCAGGTGGCCATGCTGGCAAGGGATGAGGAACAGCTGCTGCGGAAGCATTTGCCTCTCTGGCGTGACATCGGAGACTGCTTTGTCCTGGGTCTGGACTCCAGGAACCAGGCAGGCTTCGATGGGTTTACCCTTTCGTCTACCGCTGAGTGTCTTGGGAAAGTCGGTTCTGATCCAAGACTTTAAGAATGATCCAGGAAATGCCGGCGACATCACCAGTATCCAGCAGCCGCATTGACAATCATCCAGCTTTGGCTTGCTTTGTTTTTGCCCTTTTTGCATCATCATTAGTGGCTTGGCCCTTCTTCAACATCCCGGAGGTTAAAATTCGTGGCATGCACAAGCTAGCGGAGGCTGCATTTGTAGCATCGTCCAGATGTACCCTCGCGCAACTGCTAGCCTCACCATCTTCGCCAAGCACCACCGGCCTCAGCAGAGGCTTTGTCACTCCAGGGATGCAGCTATTCAAGCTCTGGTACTGTCAGCAGCGGGCATATTTTTTCCGTGCTTTTTTCTTTCCGCTTCTTGTTGGGAATCTGGGAGCGGTCCTACATCAGAAGGACAAAAGTTTATGCCTCTTGATGGTTTCTGCAGAGCCGTGTGGATCACCCGCGGATCGAATTTCCAACTCCTTTTCATGTGGCAGGAGTGGGACGGTCAATTATCACCCTCTTTTAAATTTAAAATACTTTAAAGGCTTTGGAGTGTGACAATTCGACCGCGAATGACCCAGCAACAACTTGCAGGATTCTAGGGGGAAAGGGTTGCTTTTTCTGAGAAGGCCCAAGAGGCACAACTTTTGTCCTGGTGGTGCGTCACGGGAGGGGTGTTGGGTGACAGGCTGCAGACGAGTGATGCTCAATTTTTGTCAATGTGCAGAACTATGTGTTTGGACCTTCCCTTGGCAACCGTTGCGAGGATCAGACACTTGAAGAGGCAAGCAGACAGGCATGACATGCGCATGCAAGCGCCCAGTTTTGCATTTCTCCAATGTCGCACACCAGTACTTCACCTGCCAGGTTGAAGTTTTCTGCTGAACAAAGCAGGCAAATCTGCACCACTGATCCAGGCCGTCAAAAGATTGGTAAGTGAGCAGAACTGCAGTGCCTTCAGCCCGATAGCCAGCCTCACTTGCGCACGGTCTGCCTCTAGCATCTCTTTGACCCAAGGCGCTTTCCCACTCGGCCTTTGCTGCGCGCAACGGCTGAAGGTCCTGACCGTCACGGGATCTTGCAGCTTTGTGGAAGACCTTACTGCAGGCTTCGCGTAGGGCTTGTGGATCAGAGTCTCGGTTGACGCCGGGTGCCACTTGGAGCAGGGCGGCTGCTGCCAAGAGGGCAGAGACAAAAGCGCGTTGGCATACTTGGAGGTGTGAATCCATGAGGAAGCACGAGAAGTAACACCGGACCGACCTATCCTAGCACGGACTTGAGCGTAGAACAGGCCATGTTTTCAGTTTAACAAGACCAGCTGGATGCTTTCAAGCATGTGGCGGTGGACAGTGTCACGGGAGGGGTGTTGGGTGACAGGCTGCAGACGAGTGATGCTCAATTTTTGTCAATGTGCAGAACTATGTGTTTGGACCTTCCCTTGGCAACCGTTGCGAGGATCAGACACTTGAAGAGGCAAGCAGACAGGCATGACATGCGCATGCAAGCGCCCAGTTTTGCATTTCTCCAATGTCGCACACCAGTACTTCACCTGCCAGGTTGAAGTTTTCTGCTGAACAAAACAAAGCAGGCAAATCTGCGCCACTGATCCAGGGCGTCAAAAGATTGGTAAGTGAGCAGAACTGCAGTGCCTTCAGCCCGATAGCCAGCCTCACTTGCGCACGGTCTGCCTCTAGCATCTCTTTGACCCAAGGCGCTTTCCCACTCGGCCTTTGCTGCGCGCAACGGCTGAAGGTCCTGACCGTCACGGGATCTTGCAGCTTTGTGGAAGACCTTACTGCAGGCTTCGCGTAGGGCTTGTGGATCAGAGTCTCGGTTGACGCCGGGTGCCACTTGGAGCAGGGCGGCTGCTGCCAAGAGGGCAGAGACAAAAGCGCGTTGGCATACTTGGAGGTGTGAATCCATGAGGAAGCACGAGAAGTAACACCGGACCGACCAATCCTAGCACGGACTTGAGCGTAGAACAGGCCATGTTTTCAGTTTAACAAGACCAGCTGGATGCTTTCAAGCATGTGGCGGTGGACAGCGTCACGGGAGGGGTGTTGGGTGACAGGCTGCAGACGAGTGATGCTCAATTTTTGTCAATGTGCAGAACTATGTGTTTGGACCTTCCCTTGGCAACCGTTGCGAGGATCAGACACTTGAAGAGGCAAGCAGACAGGCATGACATGCGCATGCAAGCGCCCAGTTTTGCATTTCTCCAATGTCGCACACCAGTACTTCACCTGCCAGGTTGAAGTTTTCTGCTGAACAAAGCAGGCAAATCTGCGCCACTGATCCAGGCCGTCAAAAGATTGGTAAGTGAGCAGAACTGCAGTGCCTTCAGCCCGATAGCCAGCCTCACTTGCGCACGGTCTGCCTCTAGCATCTCTTTGACCCAAGGCGCTTTCCCACTCGGCCTTTGCTGCGCGCAACGGCTGAAGGTCCTGACCGTCACGGGATCTTGCAGCTTTGTGGAAGACCTTACTGCAGGCTTCGCGTAGGGCTTGTGGATCAGAGTCTCGGTTGACGCCGGGTGCCACTTGGAGCAGGGCGGCTGCTGCCAAGAGGGCAGAGACAAAAGCGCGTTGGCATACTTGGAGGTGTGAATCCATGAGGAAGGCCCAAGAGGCACAACTTTTGTCCTGGTGGTGTATGTCCTAAGCCCTCAACTTTTGTATGAGATGCTTAGACGGTTCATGTCCACGGGACTAGGACATCAATAGCGACCCCCCCGACCCCACTCCCACCCACCCACCAAAAAGAAGACGCTTGCCGTAGATTGCAATGCAAACAATACCCACGAAAGAGCTGCCGTTTGATTTGGCAGAAGTGGACAGGGAAGTTCCTGTTGGAGGAGGCTAGTGGTTCATCCCCAACTTTTGCCACAGTGTTCCGTGGACACCAGTGCGCCTGGGTAGAGACATTTTTGTTCAGCCAAA